TCCCCAAGGTACCAGAGAGCCCCCCAAGGTACCAGGGAGCCCCCCAAACTCCCATCCCCGGGGTTCCCAGCCCAGCTCACCCTTGAGGGCGACGCCGTTGCGCCGGATGGCCATGATGGCGTTGTTCACGTCGTCCTCGGGGGCCTCGGAGCCCACCCGCACCTCCTCGAAGTCCACGGGGACGCAGGCGTGTCTGGGGGGGGGAAACCAGAGCCAGGCCCCCAAAAAGTTAATTAAGGTAATTTTTCTCTGCTGAAAAAAGCCCCCCCAACACCTCCCCTGCCTGCACTGCAAGGATTTGTTCTGTTTGTCAGAGTTAAAGCTGAGAAAAATATTAAGAATGTTCTATATACTCCTAATATGTACATATTATTTATGTATATGACTAACTTAGAAGTCATAAATTAAAATAAAGTAGGCATCTGAACGGGAAAAAAGGATTTAGAATCAAGAGTTTATGCAAACTTCAATAATTAGGACAAGAACAATAAAAAAGTAAAAAGGTCAAAGTGAGAAAGAAGAGAAAATAAGCCCTGACTTTAGGATGAAATCCTGGATCTACCAGTGAAACTCAATGCCAAAAGAAGAATCTGGAAAGCCCTGCCCAGACTCCACCTATTATTATAAAATACTAGATATTATATATATATATAAAAATATATAATATCATATCAGATATTATATATCTAATATAATTGCATTTCTTTCTCTTTCTCTATAGATATATATATACATGTATATATGGTTTTGGGACCCCCCAAATGGACCCCCCCCATGCACCCTCCCAATATTTTTAGGGTCCCTCAGGGCCCACCCCATAATTAGATATACATATAGATATATTTCTAATATATCTAATATCTATATATATATCTCTAATACCTATCTATAATATATCTAATATATATAACTATATATACATAATATTTTATATCTTTAGTGTATATAATATATAGAATATGTATAATATATACACAAAAAATATATATAGATATATAAAATATATATATAGGTATAGATACAAATATTAGATACGTAACTAAATATTGTAATCACATCAATATTTATATAATTACACATGTACACTGTGTAAATTATCCTGATGTTGTGCTCATGTCTTTGAGCAACTTTTCTATGGAATGAACCGCTTTGCTCCCAAAATTCCCATAAATCCCTCGCTGCTCAAAGATGCAAAGTCCCTGAACAGTTTCTTATATTCTAAAGCTTTTTGGTATTAAAAAGGACTTTGACAAAGTCCCTGAACTGTTTCTTATATTCTGAAGTTTTTTGGTATTAAAAGGGGGGTCAGGAGGGTCCCAAGGGTGCCCCCAACGCTGAAGGGGGGGTCCTCAGAGGGTTGGGTGGGGGGTGGGCACCCACCTGAAGACCTCCTTGACGTGCAGCATCAGCTCGGGGCCGATGCCGTCGCCCGGGATCAGCGTCACCGTGTGCCGACCCCCGTACTTGGCGGGGGGGGGCTGGGGGGG